ATATAGACTAAAGTAACCCGGCCGAAGGCCGGGAAAAACGGGCCGAAGGCCCGACAAAAAGGTGGTCTGGGGGCGAAGCCCCCAGTAATTTTTTAATTCCCCCCCCCCCCCTTATGAAAATCCTGCTACGCCTATGCTTTTAATTGTCTTCAAATTTATAAGTCTCAATTTTTTTTATCGCATTCAGTAAGAGTTTTTTTAATTTTATTATTTTCTTTAATCTTTGTTTCATTGTTTTCTTAAATGTTTATTTCCCTTTTTTCTATAATCACGAATATTTCAAAATTATTATATAAATTACTCTTATAGTTTATAAGAATCTCTTTCATTCTGAATATTTGGTTTTAATTCAATATTTTTCAATTTTTTGTTACTAAGAGATTTATTTTTATTAGAACGATTTTCTTTTATTTCTGTAACACATAAACATTTTAATGTACACAATGCTTCATCATAACTTGAATTTAACTCTCTTGGAAACACAGTTTTCATGACTAAATATAATTCAACTGGTAAATTACCTATTAAGCTTATTTTTAGTATCATGAAATTTTAAATAATCTTCTAATTTGTCAATAGACTTTGTTTTATTATTATTGTCCCATATAGGTTTATTCATAATTTAGAGATTTATCATTAAAAGTTTTAATTATTCTTCACTTTTTCAAATTAATCATTTCTTACGTGTTTATAGAATGATATAAATATTACATTCCAGAACTTTTTTATCTAGTTGTCTATGTTCCAGTAGCTAAAATCATATTGTCTGTGGATTTAGAATATTTTGTAAGTCATTATACCCCAATTTTATTTAGTTCGTCTAATTTGATATATACCTCATCTGGTAGTCTTCTTGTAAAGGAACCTGCTTTTTCGATGTCCGAGATCTGAGTGTCCTTGAAGATGTCTTCTACTCAAAAAAAGATCGCCACTGCCTGAGTATATTGGAAATTCAATATTTATATTAACATTATTATTGGGAATCTGTTTAATATTTATTTATTTATTTACGATTTCCTCGAATATGTAGAACTGCCACCATAAAGTTTTCTAAAAATAAATGAATGTTACGAGTTTATTTTATTTTATTTAGAATAAATCAAAGTTACGAATTTAATTTATTTTAAAATTTTACATTCGTATTAAACTACAAAATCAGGCTTATATAAAAATTTTCATATTAATATATATAAAAATCAATCTACACAATTTATATTAAAAAAAATCAATTTATATAAACATAAAAGAAAACAATTTAAAGGTTAGTATTAATCGGCCATATCAACAATGTTAAAAATACATATTACCGTAAAAAAAATCTAATATGTTTAAAAATACCGATTATGACAATTGTCATTTTTCCAAGGAACATCTTCAATAATGAATTTAAAATTGTCAGATTATATTATTTTCCTTAAAAAGATCATATACATAAATAAGTTAAATAAAAATATTTTTAATAAATATTATTTAGAAAACCCACCTCTTTTGATATACTTAAAAAATAGATAATTTTACAAAAATGATAAAAAAATCTATAAAAGATTTCACCTAAAAGATTGTTTATTTATAATAAAATTCACAAAAGAATTCCTCAAAAAAGATTTAAAATTTTTATCAAAATATGTTTAAAAATCTTTTTGAACTTAATATTTTTTGTTTAAAATTTTGGGCATGAAAATCACTAGTGTTGTTAAACGGCTCTTGAGCCGATTTTTAAAAAGGCTAACTCAATATTTTATCCAGAAAAATATTATGCAAGCTTAAAGATTTTGCTCATAGATGGTACATAGGATTAAACATCTATTGGCAAAATCTCGGCGCTTAGGCAATATTTTCTTGGCTATAATGTTGAGTTAGCCGTTTTAAAAAATCGGCTAAAATTGAGCCGTTTAACAACACTAAAAATCACTAATAAATTGTAGCAAAAATAATATTACAATAGTAGCATATCATTTTTTTCAGAGTTGTTAAAGTAGCGCGCTACTTAGCGCGCTATCTTTTTGGTAGCTATAGCTAATAGCGGCTACTTTTTTTACTTTTAAAAAATATAATGAATGTAAGTATAAGCACGAAAATTTAAATATAATACCATAATTAATTATAATTTTTATGATTTATTATTTAATTTTGAAATTGAAATATATTTTCAATTTGTAATTAATATTTTCAATTTGTATTATAAACCTAAATCACCTGTTAATAATTTAAAATGGCATCGTATATGAATATCCAAATCGTTGAAAGTGATTCAGAGTCAGACAATGATATTAATGAAATGGAAGATACTAGGGAAGAAAATAATATTCATAGCAATATTTTCCCATTCTCTAGATTTCAAAAATTTTTCAAGATAAATATTAAAATAAAAACTGGCTTCAAATTTTTATATTTAAAATGTAAAAAAAATATTTCCTCAAATTAATCCATTAGCTATAACCTCAAGAAACACCTAAAGGTAAATTATCATTTTTAGATAAAATAATAATATTTATTTTATAAGGCTGTTCATGCTAATAGTTTTAAGAAAATTGAACAACATTAAAATAAATTTGACATAGGTGAATCTACATCCAAAAAGACTAATTCCATTCAGACAAAATTAATTAATAATACAAATGTTAATATTTCTTAGAAATTAACTGATAGTTATTGTGGATTTTATATTTGATACAGTTCAGCCAATGTCCTTGGTTGATAATCCATAATTTATTATGATGATTAAAACTTTTTCACCTGATACAACTATTTTATGTCGCCAGATACTTGTGAATAAAATAGCAGATAAGTTTAAAGTGATGAAAGATGCTTTAATAGTAGAATTATCAGAGATATCTCATATATGTACCACGGCAGATAATTGGACACATAACAGAAGGTAAACATTTATCTATATATATAAATTGATCTGATTAAATATTTTTAGAGCTTATTTAGGAATCACAGGCCATTGGCTAAACCCTAGGACATTAAAAAGAAGATCAGTAGCATTAGCCCTCAAAAAGATAATAGGATGCCAGACATACGATGTACTTGCAAATAAAATTATTGACGTCCACACTTTTAGGATTCATAATAAAGTTTGCAAGATGGTGACCGATAATGGGTCTAATTAGCTGAAGGCCTTCAGTATTATAAATTAATTTTTAAAATATTTAGAGTAATAAAATTAAATCAAGTAATAGATAAGTTATTAATTAAATTTTTCAATATATTTAAAAGTTGTTTAATATTTCACATTATATATAAAACTTTTATTAACTAAATACATACATATTTTAGTAATATTATATCATAATTTATATCAAATTATAAAAAAATTAGTGAATTTAACTAATAAAATTTACAACAGAGATGGATTATTTCATTAGTTTATTGCACATCATTGAGCTTAACATTTAATATGATATGGTTATTGAATATTTCATGGATGATTAGATTTTTACTATATTTATTTCTTATTGGTTAATATCCATCAATTTATATACAGTACAGGGAATTCAATGTATTCATTTGATAAAATATTTTTACTTAGTTACATCATAATTCCTGAGGTTTAAAATTTAGAATAGCAACCTGATGATATTACCACTCCATTTTTGATAAATATCACTACACATTTCTATTAAAAACGGGATGAATAATTTTTTCTATTTAATATGAATATAGAATATTTGGTGAGGATAATACTGAAGGTGAGACACAGAGAGATTATTTAGTAAGGCAGAACTGATACTTTCTGATCGTCGCTCTAGACTTGGAGATGATAATATTGAAATGATTTTATTATTAAAATTCAACAAATTACCATAAATATTTAAAATTTATTACATAAATTTTTTTATAATCAAAATTAACTATATTTTAATATTTATAAATGTTGATTTTTATATATTATTTACTATACAATTAAATTATATGCAAAATAAAAAAATAATTGTTTTTAAATTTTTTTTATAAAAAGTAGCCTAAAAGTAGCTAAATCTACTTTTTAAAAATAGTAGCAAATAGCGAGCTACTTTTTTTAAACAATTAGCGTAGCGGTAGTGCGCTAATTTTTTTGACACATAGCTATATCGGTAGCGCGCTACTTTTAAAAGTAGCGATTAACAACTCTGAATTTTTTTTATTAAAAAAATATCAAATAAAAGAAATCTATTTTTCATTTCATAATATAATAATATAAATAAAAAATATATATCAGTTGATTAATAAAATATTAACATTAACATTAAATATAAATAAAATAAATTATTTTAATAAAAATAAAAAAATAATAATAGGCCGCGTTATATTTCGCGAAATAGTTTTCGCTATATTGTCTTCGCGATTTATGTTTCGCGATATTGACTTCGCTATAAAACGCGATTATTGATTCGCGATAAAAATTTTGCTCTAATGTATTCGCATTAAAGGTTTCGCTATAAAAAATTCGCGATATTTGTTTCGCTATATTGTTTTCGCGGAAAAGTATTCGCTAATGTGGATTCGCGATAATATCGCTATAAAATTCATTCGCGATAAACGACATTCGCGATAAAAGTTTAGCGATAAAAGTGTTTCGCGATAAAAGCTCCGCTGAATTGACATGGAACCATAAATTTAATATTTTTGGTAATAAAAAAATATTCTATAAAAATAAGTATTAGCGCCTTGTTTCTTGCAAGAATTTTAAAGATTGCTATTAGATTGAATAAATATGATATTTATTGGAGATTATATATATAATTGATTGAATAAATTTTTATGAATTCTTAAATATAATATAATTTTTCTGGACTAAGCCGTTTTTTACGATTCTGGCTCGAGTTCAGAGAGAAAAAACTTGACTATTTAACAACACTACGAGGATACTGCAAATTCTTAAAGAATTTAATAAATAATTATACAGTGAAAATTGAAATTTTTGAATATAAGAAAGGATTTGATACTAAATTTATTTTGATATAATAAATATAAAGATATTTTGTAAAAATTATATTCATAAATTTATAATAAGTTTATATATTCATTATATTCGTATTATTATTTTGATTTGTCAACCAGTCGTTTATTAACTTTTTGTTACTCTTCTTCCAATTCGTGTTAACATCAAGAGACTCTATTATTTGCTTGAATCCTAACGAAATTTCCCTTTTATTATTATAAACATTCATCTTAAAACAATTTATACAATAAAATACCATTTGATATGTTCCCTGTAAAATTTAAGGAAATCTTTGATCTCTTCCTTTTTGGAGATATGTTTTAGGATTGGTTTCAATAAAGTTTCTTTTTCTTCCTGCGTATCCCCGACCAAATGTATCAATGATTCCCAGTGTATTTTTATAAAATCCCATACTAATGGCAATCCTATATCATGGCCGTTGGATATTTTAGATATTACAGTTCTTATATCCTGCGTTTTTATTTTCGTTTGATCCAACATATACGTCAAGAGCCTATAAAAATTTCAAATGCATTCAATTCATTTTGTATACTACCTGTTAATTAAAATTGGATTCTGGGTAGATGTTAAAGAAAATAGAAGTTGTTCTTTCAAAGAATGAATCTGAGTATTCGTATAGCGTACCCATATATCGTTCCAATCCTTTTCAGTACCATATTTAATGGCGGATAATAATATCGGCGTTAGGAGGTTAGGATTAGGCTATAAAATATTTTTTAGAATAATAATTAGATATATAATAGTGTTTTTTATTTTAAAAAAAGGATTTATATTGGCTAGCTATTAAAAAAGATAAAAATTATTACGATTATTATAGTAAAAGAAAAATTTGATTTATTTCTATGCAGCTACAAATTGCTAAATATACAATCAGATAAATTAACTTCATAATATATTTTATTTAAACCTGATTCCTTACTTGTCGAATTAATTTAACAAATTATGAATGATCAAATCATATATTTATCCCTAGTTATGTGACTAGTTACATTTTTTGCGAAAAAAAATTTACATTATTTTTGGAATGTAATGATAAAGTAATTAGTTACTATTTTTTAAAATATATTAAATAATATAATATTTTATTCCTTAACTTTATATGATGATCTTACAAATTTAAAATTACTGTTTATTAAATATAATGACTTACATCAAGCGCTCTTATAGTATGTATAGGGAAGCAAATTTAAACCCTTTTTATAAGAAATAAATATTAAAATTTTGTTAATTTATAGATTTTTGTGCAAAATAAATAGTATATTTTGATATTTTTTTTTTCAATGCAAATAAATATCATATTTTGGTATATTATTTATTTATTTAAATCCTTTAATTAAAACTTATAAATAACCAAATTATTTTTTATAACAAAAAAAACAATTTTAAAATTGGTAAGTTATTTAAATAATTTATAAAGTAACTTGCAATGTAAAATGTCACTTATGAATTGAAACCTTAAATAAATACTTGAAAAATGATGTAACAATATTAAGTACAACACTATTTATTTATAAATTAATTTAAAACTAACAATAAATCGTTTGGAATTTCTAAACGAGTTAATATTTTATATAAAGGCTAGGACTTAATTAGAGCGCTTGAGCGCTATAGGGTTTCAATGTATTTCTACTAATTTTTAAAATCATTGTTTAAATTAACATGGAATCGATCACATGGATCGCTCAAACACGCAAAATCTCCAATTAATACTCTGCTATAACCGCTGTATGTTTAATTTATAGTTAAACAATGGCATCATAGTATAATTTGACATTATGTATTTTGTAAATGACGCGATGTCGTGCTATTTTTGCGGTTGCTATAAACGACATCTCATGCCATAGCTTAAATACGTAAACGTTATATATTAATAACTTATTTATTTCGAATATAATTATATTTAACCATATAATCATTTGTATTAATGAATCTCTTGAATATTGAATAAGCAGTTTTTATTGTCTCGTTTTGCCCCAATATAAGAGCAACAGTGAAAACCTTGCTTTGTAATATTCTATATATTATTTTTAAAAAATAAGTTTATTATTATATTGCAACGTAGAAAGATTACTTTTCTAAATGGCTTAGGTCGTTATGATCCCAATTAAGAAACTTCGGCCATCTTAGAATAGCATTTAGGAATCTTATTAGTAAAGGATTCCACGAAGTCCCATTGTTAATACCTATACTATGCCGAAAAGACATCAATATATCAAGTAAAAACATATTAATTAAAGGATCATCTTCTTTAATTTCTCCATCTATGGCATACATAAAAAAACTCAAGGTAAAGTCACCTTTTAGATGACCATATCTAAAAATATTTTTGATTTATATATAAGTAAACAAATAATTAATTATCTTTTTTATTTTAATTTATTTTACTTAATATTTCTAAATTTTAATGATGAATCACTACACGTTACATAATATTTGAAAAATATTACATTTTTGACTTATAAAATGTCAGGTGTAACTTATATTAGGGGCAAAATATCCGAGGGAATATCTCCATATTTAAAACGTCCAGAGGACAAAAAAATCCTATTATTATTTATTTTTTATATTGAGATATGAGAAATTATGGTTCGCAAGTAAATCAAATTTTTTACAGGTATCGACCTGAAATGAATATCGGTTCAGTTCAGATTTGGGCTCATATCTGTTCACTGTTCAAGTTTGACTTGTAAAGAGGAATAATATCGGTTTGGTTTGAACTAAAACCTGTATGAACACAATTATATATTAACTTACATTCGAATTCTGTATAGAGAGGCACATTTTTTTAAAAAATTAATTGCACAATATAAATGATATCAAATTAACAAATTATAACAAATAAATTTAAGTTATTAATTTCAATATTGAACACTTATAAAAAGTAGTATTGAGCCGTTGATTAAAAAATTATCTACTAGCCAAATTATATATTTACATACAGACAGTATAAATTATACTGTTCAAAAACATCTCTCTACGCTAATTTGACTAGCCGGCACTGACAATATAACATCAGATCATTTATATAATTCGGGATATTAATTTCTCTAATAGTCTAAGATATTTATTTTTTTTAAGCGAATCATTTAGAAAAATTAACTAAATATTCTGATCTTTCTAAAAGATTTTTTATGTTCATGTATGTTCTTTAATTCCGCCTTCGAGAGTTTGTTGCCTTGATAAAATCTTTATATTTTTTGTTTCTTTTAGCATTTGTTGTGATATTTTGTTAACTTTCATAAGTTTAGAGGATGATTTTTTTTAATGTGAGGCTCCAGAGCACCTTTATGGCCTTACATATATCACAATCTGTAACTTAACTTATGTATGTATCATTTATGATGCTATAAGTGAATATTTATTGGATTTAATTTATCCATAGATATTAATAAGCTTTTTAAAATTAAAATATAAAAAAAGTTAGTTATTTAAAAAATGTTCTAAAATAGCAATGTATTAACATTTATAAAAGGTCAATCAATCACAATTGAATAATAAATTTCAGAACAATAATTTTCGCAATATATTAATATAATTACTTTCGCATTATTTTATAAGAATAAAATCATGAGGTTCAAACCGGTTCACATGCATTTTTAGTGGTTTGGATCAGGTTAGGATGGAAAATGATTTAACGGTCTGGTTCGGTTTAGGTTCGATAATAAGCGTTTCAGCTTTTTTATCCATAGTTTCTATTGGAGACTTGAATACCAGCGACCAACATCATATGGCTGTTTATGACCTCTGGAGCAAAACGCTCTTAGCAGCTCATATCCAAATTCTATTAGGCAAAGAGACTAGAATTTACCATGATACAACAACACGTCGAATACCTTCACTCGAAAGCTGTTCAAAGGAAATCTCTATCGCTCTTTCTCCACCTAAACACAACCCCAAGGATATAGAATATCAATAATACGACTCTTTTACCCGACCTGATAATTCCAGCCTCAGCCATATGCCACCTAACGAACAGTTAGAAACAATACCTAATTCTAATAGACTTGTTACTAATCAACGATGATCTTAGAATAGCTATCGGGCTTCGATTAGGCTGTGAAATCGTAAACCCAACATTATGTGTCCTCTGTGAAACTCATATCGATAGCCTGGGCCACCACCCTCTACACTGTCTTCAAAAAGCAGATTACCCAGGCTAAGCCATCAATTAGATCTTAAACAGAATCTTGAGATCCACAAATATTTCTTATATGCTTGAACCCCCTGGCCTCCACCCTGACAATCAAACCAGATCTGTTAGGATGACTCTTGTTACGTGGAACTAAGATAAACCCCTCGCTTAGGAATATACTTGTGTAGGTAGTTTTGCCACATATTTTTCTGTAAAATCAATCATGAGGAGAAAATACAAACAATAAATTTTCTGCCCTAAATAATCTACTTGTTTGTTCCAGTAATTCAAGACACCTGTGGATCTTTGGACCCCAATCCCTAAAATTATTCAAAACAATAGGGCAAAGGTTAATTAAAATCACGATCCAAGAGAGGGCTTTTACGTGGGATAAAAATATATCGGTTGAAATTCGCCACTCTAACTATATATCTATTCATGGGTCATTAATCCCCACTAACTTAGTATTTATTTCTTAATCACCCTAAATAAATTTATTTTAAAATAATTTTTATATGTATATTTTTAATATTTATAATCAAAAATAATATCAAATTGTAATCTTTTTTAATATTGAATTTCAAAATAAAAATTTTTTAAATAAAATAAAACAAAATAATGATAATAATAATAAATTTATTAGAATTATTTATTTTCATCAAACAAGGATATCTTAATCCGGACATATTGACTGCAGATATTTTGCCCAGTCAACGGATTATGACATAAACATAACTCTTACTATTTACCAAAAGATTATTAAAAATAACATGTTACAAGCATTAAGATAATATACCTTAGTCATCATAATACTGAATGTTATATAAGTAATATAAATAAAATCAAGCCACTTTAAAAAGAAATAAACTTTGTCAGCCAGAACACGCTATCAATCAGATCTATTCTATCACTTGGGCTAAATATTAATGGATTAGAATACAATTGCTGTTTTAAATTGTTCCATAATTTTTTACTATAATTTATTCTGTAGTATCCATAATTATTGATATTACCTTTTACCCATTTCAATTTATCAACATTATTCTGTTTCAAAAGTATAATAGCTAATCCAAAAAAAGTATATTATTATATATTTGTTGTAGAAATAAATTTAGCAAGTTTATCAAAATATCTCAATAGAATAAAAATTAAATAGAATAGATATTGTGCTTTTTTAATTATGTTTTTGTTACACCAGAAGAATTTCGGACTTGACAAAATTTTTCGTCAGGTTCGTGTCGCATCCAATTTAAGAAGGTTTTTTTAAAAAAAAAGGATTTCTATCTATGTGAGTCCAAACAAGTTGAATCTAGGTTCGGTGTAAATAAATAGAAATTACAATTAAATTACCCAAATTTAAATAATCGGAAAGAATAAGATAATCAAACTGATATTGTATACTAAAACAAGAGAAAAAAGCTTGCAATAGAGGACTAATTTTATTACATCTAAATATTTACAGGTAAAAAAAAAATAAAAAAAGATAATCAATTGTGAAGAGTTCTATCTTAATGCATTAGGAGTTAAATTTTAAAAAAATTAAATTTGTAAATTTGGACTTAACCGTCCGGCTTTACAAATCTAAATATTTTAGGGTTCAGATTTGATAGTTCGGAAAAAAAGTCATATATCCTTATTAAGAGGTCTAGTTATAAACCACCCTGGTTAATAACGGTATAAGCTCGAGCAAATAAATTAAAAGATTCCGCCATTTTTTATTACCCAATGAATTAAAAATAAAATAAATTTTTAAACTTGGTTTAAGCAAAAAAAAGTATGGATGGTCGGGACACATTAGCTCGCGTTTTGTTCAAACCTCAATAAATTTAATGCTATTAAAATATTCTGGATAGGTGGAACATATTGTAATTCCTCAAAGTGTTTTATAGCCTTTTATAAAATTTAATTTTGAAAAATATTTTTGGTGCGCTCGTCCAATAAATCTAAATTTAAAAAATTCGGTATAACAATATAGAGACTTTTAACAAAAAGGAAATAAAAAAATATAAATCTTAACTAAAGGTCTTTTTCTATCATAATCCAAGCAAATGATTTTGCGATTCTTTTTTTAAATATTTTATTATTGCATAAACTCAAAAGTAACTATAAAATTGAACTAAAATACGATATTAACTTTTCTAGCACCAACCATGACCTCGTTCTTAACAAAAATTTTTTTTCAATTTTCCATAATTTACATTAATATCACTCTTATTTAGAAAATATTATATCTATTCTAACAACTAAAAATGATATATAAAATAATGTTAGGGGGGGGGGGGTGAAAGACATAATTGAGTCCCTAAAAAAAGTAGTAATTATATTTAACTATTTATATATGCATATTTTTGTCTTAAGAAAAGGAATTATTTGACCTCCAATCTTTGGACTCGTATTTTATGAGCCAAAATTTTTTTAAAAAGGAAAGTGTTAGGGGCAAGATGTTTACTGGTGGATGTGGCAATAGGGGTTAAAATAAACTATAAGTTTTGTATTTATTTATCTTTTTTGTTTCGTGAGTAGTGTATTACTATGGATAATTATGAGGAAAGTGACAAAGCAAGTATATCCCAGATGAATTACTAATATTCCAGAAAGTTGTGAGGCATCAAGTTTAAGCCATCATCTGATAAAAGATTAGGAGGTTCTAAGATATTGAGGATTTGAACTTTTTTGAAATGCTAGGAAGTTTATTTAGTGACTAATGGCGCTGTTGATGGTGCTAGGGTTTTTGATACAACTTCACCCATGCCTTAAGATTAACTATTAAGTTGAAAATATTAAGCAACTATGAGGTATTAAGCCGTGGCCGAGTCTATGACCTAAGGTAGCCCTTAATTGTTTATTAGTAAAGAAGTTCCATGAGTTTTTATTAGGCAAGGCTTATGACCACTCAAGTCTACTATTTTGAAAGAAGTGTGGATAAAAGGGAGTAGAATTATGAAATTAAGAGTAAAAAGATATTTTTGTGATTTGTCCTATCATGAAAAACTGTATCTGTTAAAACATTGCTCTGCCACATTGCAAGGGCCTAATCCAGTAGGTTATCATTAAGGAAGATTAAACTGGAAATTAATGAGTTTTAATAGTCGGGAAGAAAGGAAAGATAATAATGACAGAGTATAAAGGGATAGGTCAATGCTACCCATTTTTTCATCCCCAAAAAATTTCTAAATAAAAACTCCAAAGGCTTGATAAATTCTTTATGTAAAAAAATAAGATGCACAAAAAATGTAATACTTTAGGAACATCTAGGCATTTGCGAAGTATATATATGTTTCAGATTTTAATTGAAGTGGGTTGGCATGCCTCTATACCCAACGTGCCTAATATCCCTTTGTAGAATAGTATTACATAACTTTTGTGTAATTAAAAATTGATATACTACTTTTTCCCTTACCCAAAGGTAGAAATAGTATAAGTATTTTGTTTCGAATTTTTTTAATCAATATAAAATTTTAATCAAAAGTATTTTTTAAATAATTGGTAAAATGGAGGTTGTTATACTTATTAATATTTTTCTTCTCAAAATGAACATTATCATAATTGTATTTTTTGGTTTTTAATTAAACTTAAATAGAATCCAATGATAATGATCCCAAATGATAGCCTATAGTTAAGATTTATTTAGATTGATAAAATTATATATGTGTCATATAAAATATACAATATAAAAAGGATTATTGCAAAATTTTTATTAAACAAATCTTACTTAATTTCAGTCAAATCTGATGAGAATTTTAAGTTTACAGTTCAAAACTGTAAGGGTTATTTTGTAGAAGAGGGAGAGATTAATCAAAAGATATTTAATAAGAAAAAATTCAAAAATAAAATTAAAATCCATAAATGAATATTTTTATCAAAAATAATTCTAAAAAAAGTAAGGTGGTTTTATCTTCACACTCCCTCTTTCCAATATAGCACTATTATAAAATTTTTGTTCTAAGATAATTCGATTAAATTGAGCATGTGTTTAATTAATAAAAGTTGAGAGATACAACTTACGCCATCTTGCTAAATTATAAAAATTTTCATAAGAAAGGCAGTGATAAGTTAACCATAACGTTTAAATAGCTTAATAACAATTTTGACAGGTAATTGTGGTTTGCCAAAACCCAAAGGTAAAAAAAAATTTTTATATTTACATTTAAAATAAAAATTAAACACAACGCAGTGCAACTAAAAAGATTTATAAAGTAATTTTAAAAGAAAACTATGCGGTGGTTTTATAATAGACCTGATATGTTTAGCAAGGTTTCACTCCATAAAAATTTGCATTATCAAGTTCTTAATAAGAAATTTAATGCATTTAATATAATTAACAATTTAATTATAGCTTTTTGTTTTTTATACTATATAATATATCCTTCATAATTAGTAAACATTTGATAAAGAAATGTAGAAAAAAATCTGAAACTGTTTCTATTAGTAAAATGGACAATACTAATTTTGAATTAAATATGGTGTTCAAGAGATTGAAGGAACAGATAGAAAATGTCCCGATGTATCGTAAAAGGTATCAAATCAATTGAATAAAGATTCCGTTGCATCGGATAATGAATAAAATAATGGAATTGGAAAGTAATTTTAATGTGATTTTAAAGGAAATCAAGAATGATGAACAAAAGGTGGTTAAAAATGAAATGTAAATATTGATGATCATTCATAATGTTTGGAGAGATATTATCTTAAAAGAGTTTAAATAAATTGAAAGATTAATCAAGTTTATATACCAGGATGCATGTAAATTGAATAATGTGAATAATAATTTATGTAAATCTTAAATATGTGACAAGAATGGTCTTAATGAAAAAAATGATTTTCCAAGGGATAAAAATTGGGTACATTTTAATTTTTAAAGATATACTTTAGATAACATTATATGTAACTAATGTTGTTATTAATGGCATAAATTTTTGTGTTGGTTTTCCTTTAAGAAAGGCGGTACTGGGGAATTCCAATTTTCAGGTATTTCCACGAATAAATTTGAAGTGTTAGAATCAGATAATGATAATTCACGCTTTTGTTTTAAGTGTAAAAAATCTGGACATGTGGCCATGAATTGAGCAGAAATGACAAATAAGGTAAACTGACTATATGGTGTGGTGGGTCATATAAAGGTTGAGAAACCCTGTAAATTATAATAATAAATTTTTTAATGAATATTCTTCTTCTTCTCCGTTTAATGGCCATTTCCAGGTTTACCCAGGTTGGCCAGTTTTCCCTCTGATTAAATCATTGTGGTAGAAAAATCCTGAGAGTATAATAAATAAAGGAAACCATTGTTCAGTGTATGATATTTGTAAAACGAAATGAACTCTCATAAGAGGAGTAATTATAATAGAAATTTTTATTATCATGAAGATTAAATGAAGAATGTTAAATATCATTATAATCTGAATAAAGGGGGTTATAAAAATTTTAAATGAGAAAAATATCCTATGGGTATTGTTAAATAATATATTATTGATGTTAAAAAGCCTCTAAATTACGAGCTAAATTTATGCATGAATTTAGATTCTAATGAAATTAATATTTCAGATAGAATCAACATAAATCAGCTGATTAAAACATATAAAATTTTAATGACTGAAAAATTGAATGAACAATGTCCTTGTCCTCGGGTTAAATTGAGGGTAGATCATATGTTCATTGACATGTTGTTTGATTTGGGTAATTTCTATAATGTATAGGTAATATTTTTATAAATATTAGCCACATGGCATTATTGAAGAAGAAAATATGTGTGAACCTGATCCCATAGAAATGGGGCCAATTCTATGTTTGAGACTATTCTTGTATAGATCCATGCCCTATCCAACTAAACTTCAAACTTACTCGAGCAAAAAGAGCAACTTAAAATTTCCAGATATTCGGAAATTTTAGATTATATCCAAATTCCAATAATATCCACAACCTTATCTTTTTTTGATCAGCTTGCATTATCCTTCTTAAAGGATTTGGGATATCACATCTGTAAGCTTACTGGCCATCCTTGAAAAGTCTTTTTCCTGCGACAACTTTTTAAAATCGACTAAATCAAGAAATTAGCCAGAAAAACATTATATAAGCTTCGAGATTTGACGAATAGATAGCAAATAGCTGTAATCACCTGTTGGCCAAATCTCAATGGTATATTATTTTGAAAAAATCTTGATTTAGTCCTTTTTTAAATAGGCGAAATCAAGGTTTTGACAGCATTCGCTTGACTAAAATTTTAATTATAAGAAATAGTTATGACCACTTATTACCAATAACTAACTAAAAAACGTTTTAATTAAACAATAAAGATTGTCTTTTTTAAAAAAAATTTATATATCAAATACCATCTAGAGAATTAAGCAATATTGTTTGTATTCTGAAAGGTTTGAGATTCGTTACAAATGTAAAGGGAAATTCCCATTGACGTAAATCATCAACAAATGTCTCATTTAAAATTTTGGTTTTATCATGATCATCATAAACATTTATGAAAGGAGTTTGATCAATTTTGATTTTAAGGAGGCTCTCATTTTCCCATTTAATATCTTTTACGGTTACCAAAGGGTATCCTTTCTTATCAAAAATGCATTAATCATTTAACAGTCATATTTTTTTAAAATACCTGATGTAACCATGACGAAATCCGGTTAGGGTTAAAGCTATATAAAACAGTCGAATTAAATCCTTCAAAGCATTTTAGCAAATCAAAGTAATCTGTTACATTATACATGTACTTGTTTAAATAAATTTGTATCCCTATTTTAAATATATCAGGCGATAAAAATAAGTTTTCTAGCATTCTTATTATTAAAGATCCTTTTTCATATTCAACGGCATCAAACGAGTTTTCGATGGAATATAACTCGTTGGATAGATAATCATGATTGCCTAATAATGAATTAACTAATGGGTGGGATGTTTTTAGGGAGTCTAAACTAAAGGCATTGTTCATTTGTTCAATAATAATTTGATCCATCATGCGCCATTCTGGATATAGAAAAGATGTGGCTTTATACTCCATGTAGGATGCAAAACCTTCATTGAGCCATAAATCATCCCACCACCTCATTGTTACTAAATTGCCAAACCATTGATGAGCTAATTCATGTGCTATGACTGTCACGATTTTCTGCTTAACAATTTCAGGGCTATATAAAGGATCGTATAATAAATCACTCATTCTGAAAGTAATTAAACCCCAATTTTCCATTGCTCCCGCGGCAAAGTTTGGTATTGCTATCAAGTCTAACTTTTTCAATGGGTAAGGTACGTTAAAATAATTTTGATAAAATTCAAGAAGGGCCTTAAGAACATTCAAGGCAAATCTAGTTTGTTGAATTTGATGCCTAGGAGCATAGACGGAAATATCTATTTTATTATCAGCTTTATCCGAAGTAAGTCTGATTGTTGTATCCGAAAATGAGACAAAATCACAAATAATAATTACTACTAAATATGTACTCATCAAGGGGGATGCATCATAAAAATCAAATATGTAGTCTTCGACCTTTTCCCTATAAACTAATGGTAGTATTTCTAGATTTACATTCTTCCAAAGTTCGGATTTAATTTTATTAATATTAGATATACTAATCATCGACGGAGGTCTCCCTAAAATAATTTTAAAAATTGATTTAAATTCTGGTTCATCAAAAGATGGGAAACATTGTCTTGCAAAATTTGGCTCAAATTGACTCGATATTATAAAATGTTTTTTATTTACTGGATTAAAATAAGAGCTCTGATATAACCCTTTTAAATTTTCTGAATTTTTACCTTCAAAAAATATAAAAATTATAATATTTTCATCGGCATTAATATAAGTGACTTCAAGTTTTATTATAGCAATTTCGAGTTTAGGGCAAAATTTTACATATTTTATAGGAATAAATATGTTTTGAGAGATTAATTGAAGAGATATATCTTTCCAAGTCAATTTTTTGGAATGAATAATTATAAAGGATGATGTTTTAATTTTAACAGTTGCTTCAATTTTAACGGAGCCAAAAAAAAATTGGGTTCCTATGATTGGAACGATACTGACTTCATATATGGAAGGTACTATGTTTTTTGGCAATCTTCCTGGAAATGACAGCTCACATGTTTGATCATTATCAGGAAGTAATCTTATTTGACCATCACCTCTAATAATTATAGAAAATAATATCAGGGCAATTACATAATAATAGTTCCAAATATATTTCATCTAATTTCATCTCTTGATCAATTTAAGATATTTAAAAATGAAATATAAATAATTAATATGAAACATTAATATAATATTTATTGAAGTTAGTTCTAGAAAAACAACAAATAATTTTGTTTTAGTTTGCTTATTATTCATTCATTATTATCATCTAAATAAAATTTAAATATTTTCCCTTAAAAAATAATTTTACTTTTTAGGTCTACTTATGTTGTACTATCCTATACTAAATGTTATTAATTTATATACAAAAACTTGCTTTATTTTTTTAAATATATTTCTAATATAAATTATCCACTAGCTTACATCGTGCTTTTTTTCATGCTAAATATAGAGAAGATCAATGGGGCATGTCAAACCATTAATTTAATTTTTCACAATATAAGACAGGGGATATTTAAATTTTATCTTAATATACACTGTTTCCCAATTAAATTGATACCTTTCTGTTTGGCAATAAATCTGTTAATTCTAAAAATAATTCACTAAAATTTCATAAATTGATAAAGGAATAAATTATCAATGTTTTTGCAAATTCCATTAATAGGCTTCAAAGTTATGCACATTCAAAGTTGGACAAACAAAATTCGAATTTTCAAAGATGAAAATTTTTTTTATATTTTTTATTAACTTTACAATTCGACAAAAACATGAAAACATTAACATTTAAAATAAATTTGAGTCAAATGTTATTCTTCAAAGTTGATGTTAAAAATTCCCGCTATAATGTTTTTTGGCGAGCTCGCCATTCATTGATTGTACGATTAACAATAAAAATGATACCATTCCTCGACAAGTCTCTATTTGAGATGGTCAATGTCACGTATGCGGGTCCGATAAACACATTCTTGGACGCTCCATATCTTGTAGTCGGCCGGATTGAGATCAAGGCGATTTGGGGAAGGGGAGGGGGATTAGGTGATTTTTTTAATAGTAAGCAAGAAGTGCTCCCCGAATGGGAAAGGAAAGGAAAGGTATGTACCATCAATTTTCCCTTGAATCGATAATGATAGCTCTGTGCAGTCAAGACTTGATAATTTTACTAAAAATTTAGAAAAAGAATGAATAAGAAGCAATCGATTGACTGCAACTTGTTCTCACAAGATCGGCAACACACTTTCATTTGCAGATTTACCGGTGGAGCTACTGTAGACAGCTTTTAATCCGTGAACCACACGAAATATATAAATCACTGCTAAGGATACTTTTGTAGAAGCTGATTGGTGCTTACAGAAATTCTTACTCGTTTTAGTTAGGTATGTCTCTTTTAAAAATATGTCAGCTGCAATTCTTTGTAAATAATCCGATATAATTAAGTTCGTGAAATATTTGTTTATCAGGATATTAGGTCGGTCATCTTGATTTCAACAGAATCATCATTTTTCACATTACGAGCTGTAGGTGGTCTACTATCACCATATCGTTTTTCTGCTAATCCAATGGCATCAATTTTTGCAATCATTCGATTCAAGGCTGCGATAGACCAGTTTCTGTTAGGATTCAAAAACTTTTTAGTTCCACAATGTTTTTCTTATTTGAAAATTTTGACCAAACTAATTTCATATTTACTGAAAACCATTTTGTTTTATTATCATCTGCTTATGTGGAAATGACTAAGCTCCATTTTCCCTCTATGAATTGCTTTTATTTCCTTTGAATTACTTTTCCAATTACTTTAATTTCCTTTGAATTTTCTCTTTTGAATTATTTTATTTCCTTTGAATTGCCTTTATTTCCTGAATTATTTTATTTCCATTGAATTATTTCTTTTGAATTACCTCTCGATACATTACAAAATGTTTATACTTTGCCTCAAAAAATTTAGAAGATATTTAATTCATTTTCTTTTTTATTAAACAAAAAAAATATTTACAATAGATACGTCGGTATTAGATAATTTAAGCTCTAAAATGCGAAAAAATGGGCTACTTATTTAAAAATGGATTACAGATTTAATAATTGCAACTATTATTTGAGACATAAGACTAATTGATTTGCATTTTTAAGATTTAATAATTGCAACTATTATTTGGGACATAGAGTCAATTATTTGACTTGCATTTATAAATAATAAATTCCAAAAGAGAATTCACCAGCTTCCTTTTATTAATTATCTTAATGTTTAAAATAAAGGGTTAAATCAGGACTACCTAAACTCTCTATAATATTAAGCTAGCAATTAATTATTTTGGTCGTTTGTTGGAACATTCACACATCTTTATGCAATGCAAAATAAATCTAGAAATGGTTGTTTAGCTGTGTAAAAATTCCCAAAGCTAAAAATACTTTTCACCGGTGCTAATGACGCTATTCAAAAATATCTGTTTGATGATAATCTATGAGCAAATCAAATCCTTTCTTTCTAAGAAAAAGGGTTGAGAAATATTAAGGGGAGGGGGGGGGTGGATAGGAAATAAGAAATATATTTTATTTGTGAAGATGCATTTAGGATATCTTGAGGATAGGCATAGCGGGATGAATGGAAGAGAGATCAGAGTCTACAAGAGCGATAAGGGGGGGGGGGGCATTTACCTTAAAATTTATGAAAGGGTAGTAGGGGATAGGCATTTAAGGGGATAAACTAGGAGGATAGGGCAAATTTATTGGGGGGGGGGGGGGGTTTATTAGAAGTTATATATAATTGAAATGTTGCAAAAAACATATATTATATATTGCAAATAACATATATATATTGTAAAAAACATATATATATCTAATAGTATTAATTATTAGCTGCCTTACGTATATATCTATTTGACTATTTATGATTATATGACCAGTCAGATTTGACTACTTAGTTTAATTTTATTTAAAGTATTTTAGCTATATCTTAACCTTAACCAATATATCACCTTTAATTAACCTAACCCTATCTTTCTCATCTGTAAGATTACTATTTACTTTAGATACTTGTTTGATATTAATATATCTATTCAACTAAAAAATTTATTAGTCATATTCCTTAAGTTGAGTTACATTTAACTTGATTAGCATCCCATTGATCGCCGGATCGTTATAATTACCATATGAAAAATATTGCAAATTTGAATTTCTCAAATATCGCAGATACTATTTCCATTGAAATTGCTTCGGCATTGTTAGAATTCAAAAAATACGTTAAATACTTAGATAGATCGACAATATTAGCAAATTCATTAACAGTCCAATATATTAATTTGATTACTTATGAAAATGAAAATTATTGTATCAGATTAAATATTAATGGTTGGTGTATAGTATCTAATACCTTTGATGACGATAGATATAAAAATTCTTCAAGAAATTTGCAATATTTTGAAACACTTGGTTCACTTCTAGATAATGTAAGCTTAGAATATAGAAAACTTTTTTCTGAACATTTAAATATAAAGTTAATACATTTTTACCTATATGATTTAATCAAAACTTATATAGATTGCATGAAATAAAAAATTAAATAATTGTTTATTTAATGGAAATACATTTAAGTAAGGGAACTCTCTTATTATATGAAACACCTTATTCCTATATGATTATGAATTCCTTAAGGACCAAGAGATGTTCTTATTGCTTGTAAGGCATATTTATAATTTTTTATTTAAATATATCATATATAAAATTATATTTTCACCATTTTTCAAAATTTATAAAAATATAAGATAAGTTGTTTATTTATTTCATTTATATATTATATTTCTTCCATAATAAAAAAACAATAATAAAAGTATTTAACAGAATAATAAATTGATAAATATAATTAAATATTTCTTTATAAAAAAAATATAGAATGGAAAATGATTTACAACAGTGTCTTAGTTGCAATTTATTTAAATATTGTAATAAAGAATGCCAAGTTATTTATTTAATTCGTATTTTTATTATTTGATAAATTTAGAAAAAAGATTGGAATGAACACAAACATGAATGCAAAAACATACAAAAAATAAGTCATGATTTTAGAAGATCTATACCAGCCACGGTGTTAATGATGGCACGAATTATATACAAAATTCATGTAATACTATTATATTGTTTTAAACTGCTCTAAATTATAAACTATAGTGTCAGACCAATCGTATCATCAATAAAATCCTAGCCCAACCCGTGTCCAAAAATATCAATTTATAGTTCCTTCCAGGCACGTACGCAGTGCCCCCACCCCACCCCCTAGTCCAAAAAATGCAGATGCCTGATTATATTTTTCAAAAATATTATTGCTAATATTAATTTATATTTGTTAATATTTATTCCTATCTCATATATATATTTAATTACATTTATTTATCACATTCATCTACTAAATTATTTTATCAATTAATTTCGTTCAAGTTTTCCTTGACATAATTTACATATTATTTTCAAATTTTAGTGGCATATTATTTATCTAAATTTCTAGTCAAATAATAATTATTTCTGAAACTCCTTGTCCAACAGAGAAAGAAATTGTAAAAGCTTGTCCAACGAGATGGAGTCTTTGCCATCAAGCAGTAATAGCTTTTATGGAGTTAGAAGAGACGATTATTAATGCTATTACTGAAATATCACAATGGCTTGAAAGAAATCTTTCCTCAGAAGCAAGGAAATTATTGGATTCAATACTTATTTCAAATTGTTTTTCTCATTAGAATGTATTATTTAATTATACAACTATTTTATCTAATACTTATAAAAAACATGACATTGACTTGATTAAGAAGATGAGAATAGTGGAGAGCATTTTATTAGAACTCAAGAAAATTAGAGCTAATGTTGATGAAGAACATATTTTATATGTTATTGTTGAGTCTAAAGCAGAATACGTTTTTAAAATTTGTTCCCCTCAACTTGCAGCATCGTCAAAATATTAATATAGGATCAGTTGAAGAGTATTATAAAACAAAGGTCCCCTTGTTTAGATACATTTATATCCCAAATAAATGAATGGTTTTTAATTCATTAAGCAGCACTTACAAATTCGCAGTTATTATTTCCACAAAAGCCTTTCCAACCTTTTTCAGATGGTGATAGAAAAAAAAAATATTTGTTAGATTTTTATCATGAAGATGTTAAAGTATCTTATGATGCCTTATTAGCTTAATAACTATGATGATACAGTCCCAAAAATGCTATAGATGCTTTGCATTATTTCAAACACATTTTAGATTATATTCCTTTTTAAGTGTATTCTAGATACCCATAGTTGATATTGAATTGTATTAAACGATAGAATAAGTATAACAAAATACTATTTAAATTATTCAAAATTTCTTTATTTCTTATAATTTTTTTTTAATGAATTAATCTTTACAAAATAAAAACTAAAATTATATAATTATTATTTCTTCTTTTTTTATAAATTTAACAAAAATTTTTCAATCAATTAATTTTACAAAAAATATATATTTTCAAAAAAATATATTATTATAATAATTATTATTATTTTTTTACATTAAATAATAATAATTTTTTTCCTCCAATCAGATGTCTACAATCCATCTGATTGACATTTGAGGCTTATATATATATACATTTTTTTAACATACTAAGACATGTCACCCCTTTATGGGTCAACGACATTCTTCACCATTAAATATAATATTTAATATATATTTTGAAAAATATTATATTATTAATTATGTTGTTATAATAAGAGAATTTTTTTTCTTTATAATGTATTCATAAGGAAAAATACAGATATCCAGTTGTTCCTTTTTACTCCATATTTATATACTCTTGAGCTTGATTACTAGTTGTACCGATAATCATCATGCGATTGCAGGCTTGACTCGAATAACGATAGTCAGCATTTAATCGTTGGCTTGATCTGAATAACGCCGGCCCTCCATACATCAATTGAAACGACCGAAAATTTTTCCCGAATTGTTTTCTCACTTTTGTGAATCCCATTGGTTCAATCACAAGGTCAAAGTTTATAGTCTTAGTTCAACCATAAGGTCAAAGTTTATAGTCTCTTTATTGTCTAACACAATTTGAATCTTTTTTCTTTATACCATAGCAACATCAAAGTAAACCGTCCGTGAAAACAAAAAAACATAACTTTCTTTTTCTTTTTCCACTGACCATCCATCACAAAAATTTACATTTTTTATTAACTTTTTCTTTACTTTCCTTGAAAAAAAAACAACTGCTCGGTATATAACATAATCATAAACGATTCCCTCGTTATACCATTTAATTACTTATATTATACTCCTATCACTCTACAATGAGGATACTCGAGTATATAAAATAATCAATAAATTAATAAAATACTTTCCTCCGATGGACTTTAATACCATGTAACCGAAAGCATAAATTACCAAAACACCCCCAGTTGTTCAGTATTCAACTAATTCATTAAGTTATATAATTTTGTTTTGTAATCCACTAATTTTATCAATTACGTGATTATTTAAATAACCAAAGGAATCTCTTCCTTCAAGGGAAAACAAAAAAAATTGTCTTTGCCCTTCAATACCCTGAGACTCAATTATAATCCCGTATAATTATAGGATGTTGAGTTCTCCCTCCGAAATATAAAAATCCCTTTATTTTCCAGGCTTTTTAAAGTTTCAATTAAGCATCCTCTAATGGATTCCATTAACACTTAATCCCAAAGAAGCCTACCCCTATCTTTATGATAGTATCTTACTCCCAATACTACGCAAGTATCGTTATCAGAGTATCCCAAAAGAATCAATATTTTCATTATTCACATTTAACATATTATGCTATATTACTACAATAAATTTCATTATTCATCTTTAACACATTATGCTATATGATTCCAATAATCTAAGATTCTGGAAAAATAATCAGATAAGATTAATATTTAAGCATTTTCACATTATCTTTATCCTTTCTTACTTTCTCCTAACCTTACGTGTTCATTATGTCTGATTACCGTTATTCCATTTATTAGCAAAATTTCATTTAATTTGGAACCAAGGTTTTCTACTATACGACCTTTTTCCCATTTCTTCCCTTTGTTATCAAACAAACGGGCCCATACATTTCTTCCCACAGGATTATTACAATCTTATCAACCGAAGGTACACCAGTTCCATCTTTGGATTTTAAGAAATCCAACGGCATTCTGGTCCTTCTTCCCAAAAATAACTCCACCGGAGTAATTCCCTCTCGGTTTCTGGAATTATTATAATATAAATGGGCCATCCAAACATCATTACTTTCTTGTTTGGCCCTTTTAATCCAATTTTTCACGATAGCTACCATTCTCTCCGCCAGTCCATTGGAACTGGGATGATATGGTGGAGCTAATACGTGTTTAATTTCCATCGCATTACAAAAATCTTTGAAACTTTCACTTACAAAGGCCGGACCTCCATCAGACACTATGTCTTTGGAATCCCAAATCTAGCCCATAACCTTTGTAACAATTTGATAACAATTCTAGTGGTTAATCCATGAACCTCTTCATATTCAATCCACTTAGAATATGCATCAACAACTAAAAAATACGACTTCTTGTTTAAGTCAAAGAAATCCACGTGAACACGCTCCCACAGCCTTTCAGATCTCGGCCAATAACTGCCTATTTCCTTCCGGGGCATAACGGCACACGAATTACATGGAATACAACTCCTTGTAATCTTTTCAATATCATCGCTCATTCCAGGCCACCATACATACTCACGAGCCCAAGATTTCATTTTATCCCGACCCTGATGTCCTGCATGCAACAATCGTACAATTTTACTCCGTAATTTCAACGGAATCACGGCTCTATTACCCCGCATCAAACAATCATCCACTACGGACAATTCATTTTCAATTTTTTTATAAATTTACTATTATTTTTCCACGGTTCTTGTCCCGTCAAAAATAATTTTACTCGACCCAATTCCTTATCCCCTAAGGTATTGCTTTTAAGATCCTCCCAATTCGTAGGACCACCCATTAACATATGTGATAAAGAACAAATTAATACCCTGTCTTCATTCACCATTATACTTTTGTTACCGTCAAGATCCCCTTCACTGGATCCTAACCTAGATAAAATATCAGGCAAACAATTTTCCTTGCCCCTGCGATATCTGATTTCCACATTAAAACTTCCCACCAGTAACAACCAACGTTGCAACCGGGGAGACAGCATTAACTCTTTATTATCTTTTTTAAATAAATGAATTAACGGCTTATGATCCGTGTAAATTATAAATCTTTTACCGATCAAATATTCACGACATTTGGTTAATCCAAAGATAACCGCTAGGGCTTCTTGTTCAATAACCGAATATCTAGTTTCCACTTCCCTGAAAACTCTCGAAAAAAATATGATGGGTCTTTCCACACCATCCATTAAATGTAACAATGCACCTCCAACCCCCTTGTTGGATGCATCAACTGCCAATATGATCTCTAAATCATTATTAAAACATACCAAAATCGGTTCCTCACCAATTTTTCCTTTTAAAATATCAAAAGCATTTTTCTGTTCAATTTTCCACACAAAATGAACACCTTTCTTTAATAAACCATACAATGGAGATGCCAATTTTGCAAAATCTTCCACATAACGATGATAATAATTTACCATTCCCAAAAATGATTGCAACTCTGCTTTATTGGTTGGCGGATTCATATTCGTTATATTTTTTAAATTTTTTTCCAGAGGTTTCACCTCCATTCCATTTATGCGATGTCCTAAGTAGATAACTTCCGTTACCCCAAGAACACTCTTTTCCTTGCTGGCCCTCAGACCCTTATCACGAATCCGCTTGAAAACCTCTTCCAAACGTTGATTATGTTGCTCTGGTGTTATACCAGTCACCAACACATCATCCATATAATAATAAACTCCTTCTAGGCCCTGGAAAACTGATGCCATAGTGCGCTGAAATATCGGCGCTGACACACTTAATCCAAACGGTAGCCTACAAAAGGCAAATAATTCTTTCGGAGTCGTTATTGCAAATAATTTATGAATTTCTTCTTTCAAAGGCAATTGCAAATAAGCCGAAGAAAAATCAACCTTGGAAAAATACTTGGCACCTTTTAAACTGGCCAAAATTT